CATACTTAATTTATTAATTTGTAAAAATAGGGTACAATGTTGTAAGTTAATTGAAACCCTATTAATTATTACGTATTTTTGACGGTCCTAAGCCCATAAAGTAAAAAGGAAAATCTGAAATCAACTGAAGAGTATTTTAAAATAGTTATTATGACTGGATAAAAAGACTGGTACCCAAAGCCATAAAATTAAGAACTAGGCCACGCCCACTAGGTTTATTCCACTTGCACCTGTAGAACGTGCGAGACAAAATTGGTTTATTCCAATTTGTACTGAAAAACCAAATTTACTAAAATCTTAGTGTACTTTCTTTATAGGAGTCTCTTGTTTATCTTAAATAATAGGTATTGTTCCCTACTTTTATCTCTGTGAATATGGCAAGAATGCAAAGTAACACGGTGTATATATACGAACCTAGCGACAATGAGCTAAATGAAAGTAGTACAATTAAGAAACGGAGGACTAAATCCAGCCAGCCTCATAGAGAGAGAAGGCCTAGCAATGTAAAAGCCAGAACTCTAAAAGCGTACTGAGCTGCACCCTAATAGTACTGCAAAAATCAAAATGTAGTAATCATTTTTAGACGAACAGGCAATTTAATCACATGTGCATTCTCCGATCACCACACAGCTTATGACCGCAGTCTATGGAGGAAAACTATCTGCGGTCGCGATCCTCATCAGTGAAGAACCGAGGAAGAAGAAGAAGTGATCACCGAAATAGATGAAGCCTAAGCCACGACCAGTGCCAATCCAGCTCCAAAACCCCACGAATTTTCAGCTCGAGTGGCAGAATAGATTGCAACCTACGAGACTAGGGAAATTTTAGCTGTTTCAGAACTATTCTCATCTGTTTTTAAGATTCTGCTTAGTATCGATGTATAAATAGCTATCCAAGTCCTCATGCTGATACAAAGTGTATTATAGAGACGATTTTTTGTAATAAATCGAAAGTATGTATTTGCGAGGACCAAATCTGGGGGCACGGCAGTGCCCCCACCAAGTCGAGCAAAAAAGCGGCACGGCCGTACCATCCTTTTCTCGAAGCAATTCAGGCCATTTTCGACCGCCTGTAACTTCGTTGTGGATAAAACTAGAAGGCTGAATTTTCATTAGCTATGCAGGCATTGTAAAGACACGGTATATTTAAAATTTCATTCAATTTGAACCAGTAGTTTAAGAATTATAACGGGTCAAAGTTACTTAATTTTGTCACTCACTGACTGACTCACTGACTCACTGACTCACTCACTGACTCACCGATCATCAAAACTCTAAGGCACTTCTAGCAGACCTAGAAGCTTCAAATTTGGAATATAAGTAGTGTTTGGTGTATGAATCAAGGAAAAACTAAAATATTTGGGGGCACGGTAGTGCAACCGCCAAGTCGAGTAACTACCTCCCACTTAGAGGTTTTCAAGCTTCTGAGCTAGACCGAGCTTAGTATCAAGATACGGTGAGTACATCACACAACTTCGATTAACTGACGATATTGTAGTTATGACTGAGACCTTAGTAGACCTAGGTACAATGCTCCAGAGCCAATAAGACCAATTCTTGCAATAGATTCGCCACCGGAGCCACCGAAATTGCGCCACCGAAATTAGAAATTTGTTACAAAATAAATATATAATTCTGATCAATAATTTCTGTATGCAGATACAAAAAAATACCAAACTTTAATCATGTTAAAGAATCGTTTAGCTAAGTAAGTAGCTTTCAATCATACACTTGTCACCGAAATTGAAAAATTTTGTATTCCTGTGCCGCTGATACTAACATTTACGGGTCTGCTGGAAAAACAATACCACAAGTCGCAAGTCTTTATAGCCCGATCAGGAGGACACAGCTGAGTGATGCAGGGAAGAAGAACTCTACGTCTCTCAAAGCTTCTTTGGAGAAGTAAGAGAGTGTCGAAATTGAGCCACTGTAATTGCGTTTTTTCGTGGGACAGTTTTGAAAGGCTATTTAAAACTCTTAAAATATGAAATATCACATTTCTTTCATATCATTTGGAAGTCTTATTTAATGTATTTTATGGCTATACTATTCTTAAATTACTAGAATCCCCGAGAAAGAAGGAATAACACAATTTATGAGTAGAAATAGAGTTAGGACGCGCCACCGCTATTAGATTTTGGGTCTTTGAAAATTTTTTTAGCACATAACATAACTAGCTATTGTCCTGAAGACTTTGCTATCGTGTAAAACGCTGTTTAAACTATATACAGAAAAAAAAAATCGCTCTAGTTACATTTCTCCCATCGATTCTCAGCTCCGCCGCGTAAAAAACGTGTTTGGGATATTCACCCATAAAAAGATCTATGTCATTTTTGCGCCTTAAAACCATGTAAGGTAACCAAAACAAACCTTTTCCACATTTTTCAGCAAAAACATAAACAGTTTTTGATACCTGTCCCTAACACCATATATCACGTCCCAGACGCGTCACAGACAGACAATTCAATTACTTCATATCCAACAACAGATGGGCTTTATCGTGACCGTCTCGAACTTTCTAGAAGTTTGAGAAGCGTTTGGAACTAGTTTCAACTTGTCAAACTTCAACGCTTTGACATGCCAAGGACGAGCTGAACGAAGGGGTTAGACTAAGAGCTGGTGAACGCCAGACCTACGTCATTTTTATAAAAGCTGAAAGTTTGTCAGCGTATTCTCCCAATATAGGATAGAATGTTGGTGAATCATGAAGTTTGGGTTATCGTGGCTATCCTAAAAAAACTGTCTGGCAAGGAGTTGGAACTGTCAAAACTGTCTGGCTGATGTGGAAACAACGTCTAAAAGCTGATTTATATAAAATATTAGGGCAATAATTAGAAGTAGTTACCTCATCTGACAGACAGTTTTGACAGTTCCAACTCCTTGCCAGACAGTTTTTTTTGGATAGCTGCCAAAGCCACGATCCTATATTGGGAGCATACGCTGACGAACTTTCAGCTTTTATAAAATGACGCAGGTCTGGCGTTTACTAGCTCTTAGTCTAGGTAATGTGTCTTTTTGTGGATAAGCTCGTCTAAAACTTTAAGTTTAAGGAGTCTTCAAACTCCAAGTTATTAGAGATTTGGAGTGTTTAACGAAAGTTTGAATATGGGTGACGGAACTCTGATCGGAAGTTGGATGGTAAAACAAAAGAATAAAGTCTAAACTAATATCTATAGACAACCAACGAACTATGGATTTATAAGGGATTGGTGAATCAAATTACAATACCTACTACATTTTTTAGTTTTGACTCTATACTTATATGGCATATGCACACATGCAGTTACGTCGACTTTCACCTTCAATGCTCCTTTCTATGAATTTGAATTTAATCCCTTCCAAAAAATATAATATTACGGTGAAAAGTTACTTATCTAACTGCATTCTTCCTGCAAATGAAACCTACAGGTTACCTGTATCAAGTGAAGCAAAATGCAGAATCCTAGTCGGAAATAAATAGCGACGTATCCGAGCGATATGATCTTATTAATGTCCCGACCACAGGACGCGTCGGTGATAACTCTCAAGGTGTGGCCCAAGAGTGGGACCTTCAAGTTAAGTTAAGATTTTATTTGACTTTCTGTTCTTGCTTTTGGTTATTCTCATTATCATTCTTCTCCGCTAATGTTGCTTAGTATTCTTAAGTGACTTCAAAATAAGAAGTTTTTTCAGAATTTTCCCGATTACTCAAACACGCCTGTACCGATTTAAAAATCTTATTTTTGTTTCAAAGGGTTTTACATTAAACCACTTCAGTAGTTTCTTCAGAATCCTGTAACTACTTAAATACCAAGCAGCAATATTGAATTTTCCAACTTCTTTGAAAGTTGTTAACAATATTTCGCATTTTTGCAATTTTCGAATTTTTATTTATTGTTTCATGTTGGTGCAGCAGACCAAGAGCTAAATTAAGGTAGTTTAGCTTAGGGTTTAGTCTGCAACTAGCATTATTGAAACTAAACGCTCTCTCTATTGACTTGTAAGCCGGACTATCTTGCTCATTTATTTCCACTCTTTCCCTGCAAATACACAGTTGCCAGATAATAATAAGGCCAGGTGCGAACTATCGAGTATTTTATGGTGCGGTTTTATTCCATGTCAGCATTTATTATTTATGGGTTTCACGTAAGGTGAACACACACCTGTGAACCGAAAGTTTTGTATTCGACACTTTTGTGACAGATTGCAATTTTTGTACAAAGAATGGGAAGGCCATGCTTTTTGCGGTTATAGTAGAAAATGAGTCAAAAAATCGCGATAAGATTCACACTTTCAAAATGAATTTAATCTATAATATTATCATAGAATATTCGTACTTAGATAATACTAACTTGTTATAATACTCTGACAGATAGTCCTTCCTTCCTTCAGCGTCACCAGTTGGCTCCACTGACATAGCCACAAGTAAGTGACAGGATCTTACTCGCCAGTGACTCAGTGACGTCAACTGTTGAGCGCAAGGAAACCCTCATTTCAAGTAAAACGCAGTTCTCTTTCAAGAATCATTTACTTTTTACTACTAATCTAGAGTATCCTCTATTGATGGTTACAATGCCTCCTCTTCAGCCGCCTCGATGGGACTACTGAGGGCCTGGGGCCCCAGTGAGAATACCCTTAGAGGACGCCGAGAGTACGATTGCCCCAGTGCTACTCCCTGAGTAAAATAATGAAGGTTTCCTTGATTGCGCTTACTAGTTGGCGCCGTTGGCGGGAAACAGGACCTTACTTGACACAGGCGTCTACCTAGTGGTGGTCTGGAAATTGGAAAGACGATAGTCCTCCAAAGTTTCAGGCGCCCTCTTGTTGGCACCACTGTCTTAGCCACAAGCACGTGAGAAAACGATCTTCTCACGTGCTTGTGGCTAGGTTATGTGGCAAGGTCTTCTGAAGACGAAGAAGGTGAGTGTTTAGGAAACCCTCATTACAAGCAAAACGCAGTTTTCTTTAAGAAACATTTAATTTTTTCTTCAATCCTAATCTTGTGTACGATGGTCTAAACCCTCATCTCTCACTACTATCATCCTCCTCGTCGTACTCGGTGCGGTTCCACCTATGTCCGCGGGTGGCGGCGTGCAGCCAGCTGCGTACGTCCCGCGCCGCCACCCGCACCGCGTAGCTGCGCCCCGGCCGCGAGTAGCAGTCGTCGGGCCGCCACGAGGACACCACGCCCCAGAGGACGCCGTTGAGAACCACTGGGGCGCCAGTGTCCCTCTGGAATGAGGGAATAACATTAAAAAGATAATCTACGTGTAACTGCACACTGTCCACGGTCGGTCATTTTACGACGAACGCAGGACGCTACGAGCTACACGTGCGACTTGCGTGGGCAGCTGGCCTTAAGTGGCAGTGGGCGGGGCACATAGACCATAGAACTTATGGTCTGATGGTTGCAGAAAAGTTCTCGAGATGCGACCGTGAACTGGATAACGCAATTTGAGTTGACTTCCGAATCCAAGATCTGGTGAAGGTTTCGGGAAACACAGGCACAGGCAGCGCAGGACATTGTGGAAATCCTTGGAAAGCAGTAGACTTACCTACTTTGGCCGAAATGATGCTACAAGGGGATGGAATCCATCGACTTCTGTTTCCTTTGTTTTCCCACTCTTTTATAATAAAGTCAGTGGATGAAATCTAACAAAAATAAGCCTGAATTCTCTCACTAGTTGAAACTGTTCTCACCCAACAAGGATCAGCATTCAAATCCGGGTCCAGGCACATGATACTCCCCGTGTCATTGATGCCCATATCGTTGAGCTCCTTCTTACATAGTTCAGGGTCTGAAGGGTGAAGATGGGAGACTGAGAGCATACGGCGCTGTTTGATCGTGTCCATTGATATGACGTGATGCGGCTTGGCTCTTATACGCTGTAAAGAGGGTAGGTTTGATTTTTGTTGGAAATTAATGGAGATAACAAGAACTCATGAAGATTTTGGATTTTGACTTTTATCGTCCAGATAATGATAGCAAGATGCAGGTGCATATGGGCGCTTAGTCTAGCAACTGGAATCATTGTCTACAGACAGTATAGATCGTTTCATCCACGAAGACGCGCCCCACCAATTTTTGGTTGAGGGAAGCCCGGGGTGCGGGGAGTTTGATCCGAGCAATCCGAGCGTCATTATTATAGTGTGCGTGTGCACTCATGGATAATAATTCAGCGTGTACCGATAACATTCAAACATTAGAGGAAAAATGGTGGGGCGCGTCTTCGTGGATGAAACGAAGGTGCTGGGTGCAGGCTGCTACCAACCGCTCATTATGGAAATCATTGAGGAAGCCTATTTTTAGTAATGGACGTCCTATGGCTGAAATGATGATGATGATGAGAGTTGTAATAAGACTTACTAATAAAGGAGTCCACGCAGTCACAATAAAGTGGGTAGCAGTGATCTCCTGCAAATTTGTCTGGATTCTTATTGGAGATAGGGTCGGGGTCAGCCACACCCGCTCAGCCAGCATGATGAGAGCCACGTCGAAGGCCGGCTTACTGTCGTCAAAGAGTGGATGTACTTCTATACTCTTCACTGGGAGAAGGACCCCACCTTTCTTGTAGTTGATGCTGCCTAATCTGACTTTGATCACTCTTGCTGATTCTCGGACTCTGCAACAATGTTTTGATGAGTTTTAAACCCCAAATCCTCTAAATCTGTTTGTCAATTTTGATTTATTCATCCATCCCAATACTAGTACATGACAGGGTAGTCAGCTGAACATACAATACTTACAAAAACAAAGCGTCAGCAGCCGTCAGCACCCACTTATCATCCAGCAAGGCTCCAGCACTCAAATACGAAGACTTCTTCAATACAGATACCACGTAAGGAAATACGTTACTTTCCGTCACCACTGTGTGGTCACTTAGCGCATTATATTGTCTGGTATTTGTGGAATACCGTAATTTTGCCTGTACATTAGAAAAGGCTAGTAAAAACGCAGTTAAAGCTGTAAAACCCATTGTAACTGCAGTCTCGATATGAACTAGTGTTTTAATAAACAAAGGACCACAATCACCGTGTGTTGTGTAATTGAATAGTGTTGTTTTAAGCCTTTTTTATTCGGTTTTTCAGCTCTGATGTTATGTCCCTTCAATCAGGGTTCAGATTCAATTTGCGTATACTGACCGTTGATGAGTCCTTTGTTTTGAGTTATTCTCGCAAATTGTTTCAGTGACCTTTTGTTTTTGAGGCCTTTGAAAATACAAATGCGATTGCAATCAGAATTTAATACAAACGTAAGACAGAAGGCGGATTATTGGAGTTATAACTACAATAAAATGTCGTGTAACTTGTGAGGGAGTTCATAATGAGTTATTGGATGATTTCATAAGCGAATTGAAATGATAATGCTTTAATAAATACTCCTCCAGATATTTTAAGGGTTGGCACCCAAACGGTATTATAACGGGACCCTTACCCTAGGAATATCTTAAGATTTGTATATCATAGAGTTATTAGGTTTGTCTGCAGGTTTCATTTGAACCTCAGATTAGGTTAATTCTTTGATACTTTAAATGTAAGCAGCGACATAAAACGCTTTTTTATTAAAGTACGTAGGCTTAGTTGCTATAAGTTATAACAAACGGCAAGTTTGCCAAACTCCATTATAAAAACACCGGCTATGGTTATAGTTACGGTTAAAGTATGGTGGTACACGTATAATACACAATTGTACGGGACGCTTAGTTTGCGAATCTTTTTCGCGCTTCGCCGGTGCTTATTCCAATATATTTCATGTCATACTATTAATATTCATATAAAATTCCTAAAAGCCAAAACATAACCACATACCGTTTGAAATATGATCATCCTCAAACAAAAACGTAACATGAAATATTTCAATTAAATATCCACTGTACATATTTTGAAGTCTCGTACTTTCAGCCGAAAAATTGGAAATGCTTCTAAAATGTTCAAATAATTCGCGTAATTTGATTTATAGTCCAGATGCGTGGGGTAATTAAAAACACATTTTGTGTGACCGAAAGTTTCGGCGCAAATGTGTGAAATTATTTTTTACATGTCACGCGTTTTAAAGGGTTTGGAGAAAATGGGCGATTGGATATTTAGAGCAGTCGGTTTCTATTAGTACCTTGACCACCATAGTATTATCTTGTCCAAACTTTTAAAATTAAGATTTCTAAAATCTAACTAAAAACATATGTAGAGAGTCAGATCGTGCTTTGATAACTTGTGAAAAACCATTCACATGTCATTCAATACTGTACCTCTAGTAGGAAAAACTTTCGAGTTCGTTTCGTTGCGTATTATTCAAAGTGTCATCGAAAAATTTTGTATGAAAAATTAAACAGCGCCCCCTAGGGCGGCTATAATATAGGGGGCGCTGTTTAATTTTTCATACAAAATTTTTCGATAACACTTTGAATACGCAACGAAACGAACTCGAAAGTTTTTCCTACTAGAGGTACTGTAATAATCTAGGTAATAATAAGTGTCCTTTGAAGCTTGTGTTAAAAAACTAAAAAAAAAATGTTGATTTCAATAGTTATAATACGTCAGTCATAATTTGCAAGCTCTTTGTCAAGCTTAACTCATAACTAAACAACTTTTCTTTGAATTCTTCTGGCTCACTGCGCTAAACGAGTTCAAAAATGTGAGTCCACATACCTAGTGCATTAGTGTGCATTGAACTGAATCTTGCATAGTCTTCGAAAACCAATGCGATTCCACATCAATAACCAATCTTCCCAAAAGATCTTGAACTTTACTTCTTCAGTACTATAAGGTCTAATATCAATCGTAGTGATTATAAGTTGTTATCAAATATTGTACCACAGGTTTCTTAGCGATCGCAGTGTTTTCTAATCACCAAATCATAGCCGAAACAATACAAAGGGCCCGAAATGTGGTTATGAATAATGCTTAGTGTCAGAATATCGCTAACAAAAGGCTCAAACCGAAAGGGCCGATTCTGCCCAAATAAGTTCGCCCGTGGGACCGATTCAGCTGACCTGCTTGAGATTTCCACGCTGTAACAAGTTTTCGGGGTTTTGAGGTTGGTTCTATTGTATTAAAGCATCAGAATCAGCCCTTTTTGGGTGTTCAGGATTTCTGTTACATTATTTATGAAATGATTTCAACAAAGAGCCAAAATATTTTGACTGAGGTATAGAGTTTGTGAAGGTAGCGTGTACTTCGCTCTTACTCTACAAAGACGATGCGTTGCAGCGGCGGTGCGACGCCAGAGCGGTGTCGCTGCGTCTTCTTATATTATGTCAACGCGAAATTGTGAACTCTGTCAGTTTATAATATAACGCGTGAGATTGTAAACTAACAGTGGGTTAGGTTACATTAGATTGTAATTTAACTACGTCAGATTACAATCTGACGGAATTCACAATATTACGGTGACATATACATACAAATATCTGTGGCGGGCACAAAAGCGGTGCGACGCGCGATACGGTGAAGCTTTGCGGTGCGGCGCCGCAACGCATTGTGTATTTTCGCTCTTAGGCTGAGGGCCTCGAGTTTAGCGGGCAGCGGGGCGGGAGCGGCAGGATCTTATGCGTAAAATCAAATAGAACCGGTTCTCGAAAACAGCGGCGCGGCAGCGGGAGCGGGGCGGGCAAACGCAGACCCGTTCTCGAAACAAGCTGGCACCTCGCGCGGCGCTTTAGCGGCGAAGTGTTGTGTTCGGGGTTGTGTTGTCGAGATATTTGTTTTTATTCGCAAACGAAATGTCTGAACAACGGCGTCAATTTTATTTCGATTCAAATTTATTCCTAACGCTCGATTTATTGTGGGAAAAAGAACGAGTGCGCTGCCCGCTCGTTTCCCGCTCCCGCGCCGCTGCCCGCTCGTTGCCCGCTCCCGCGCCGCTGTTTTCGAGAACCGGTCTATTTGATTTTACGCATATGATCCTGCCGCTACCGCGCCGCTACCGCCGCCGCCCCGCTGCCCGCTTAATTTGAGGCTGAGGCCTAAGGTGAGTCCAGACTATGTAACATAACACGATATAAAACGTAGTTATATGACATGTTATTAAGTATGGAAGCCGTATTTACTACAACCTAATAAGACAGTTTGTAACATGTTATATAGTTAAAGTTATAGAACATGTTACATAATTTGGACGCACCTTTAGGGCGTGTAGTTAGTTAGAAGCTTAGTTTTACATGAGTACTGATAACTTTTTGACGATGCGAGCCATAATGGTTTCGTCTTAGCAACAATTTACATGAAAATGCTTTTGAGCCATATGGTATCGTCTTGGCAACAATTTACTTTTGGTAGGATGTTATTATCAGAAATATTTTTACTTTCATTTCCATTGTATCAACAATGCGTGTGATTTGGGAAACGTTTCCTTCGAACTCATGTAGGTGTATTACGAAACAAACTGCGCGTGAACACAATCGCTGGGACGTTTATTCAAGCTTTTGCCCGTGGCTTTGTCTGCGTTTCTTTTTAAATTTACAACGAGAAACTTGCATCTCAAAGTTTGATCATGATGATGATGATGTTGATGAAAATGTTATTCCGAAGGTGAAAGCGAGCTTCACCTGGAATCTTCAACCACAAACGTCATCTGTTTGTCAAAGAAAGAGCAACTTGCTTGACACTTATCGTTGTAATTTGGCCAATTTACTCAATATCGTTATAATTTAAAGCTTATATGTTGTTCTGATGTATAAACAATAATATTGTTAAGTTTCATCAAAATTCCTCCAATAGTTTTTGCGTGAAAGAGTAACAAACATACATTAACCTCACAAACCTTCACATAATAATATTAGTAGGATTATAGCGATCGGAGGGTAGTAGAGCGTGGGATAAGTTGCCAGCCGACTATTGGATTTCACCGATGGCTTATCATTCGCATACGGATCGTTTTCGCGTGCGACTTTATTACGGATGGTCACGTTTTCGATCTATTTCATTCGAGTCTACGGCATTGTATTAACTTAACAGTCTGGCCTAGTAGTTCGTGTACCAGACTACTAATTTGTAGTTAAACACTGTACCTAGGCACAGAAGAAGAAAGAATTAACTAATCTGGCAACAAAAGACACATACAAACACATTACATTAATTTAAAAATTTAGCAAAAATAAAATTGGCCAAATGCGTGTCGTGCCACGCGCAGTATAGAGTTCCGTAGTTGTCCTTCGTTACCACAATATATTTCTGAAGCAAACAATTACTTCATCTAAAGTCACTTTTAATATTCAATAGTTAACAATTTGCAAATCGATCCCTAAATCGAAAAATGGTCTTAGAAACCCCTAAGCCATTTTAAAATACCTATCCAATGATACCCCACACGATGGGATAGAAGAAGAAAAAAAAATCATCCCCACTTTACATGTAGCTCATGAAGTTCTCTAGTGCCAATAGTTTTCAAGCAAAACCTCGGACAGACAGACATACAGACATATCAAAACTATAAGGGTTCCTTGTCAGGACTACGGAACCCTAAAAAGTTATCATACATTTAAATAGGTGTGATTTTTCAACAAAAATGTAGGTAGGAAATTATTCTAATTTTATGTGACTCTACATTCAACAATTATTTAGGTGGTATATTTTCACTCACATATAAAATCATTTCCTAGAAATTGACGATGGTATTAGTATTACCTACTGAAGTGTGAATTCGGAAATTCATAAGATTTTGCTATTTCCGTGTTAGTACTATAAAGAATCGAATTCCAGGTACTGTGACTTGACTGGTTCCGATCGTATAGGTACCTAAGCTTATAGAGCTGCGGCTTGACTGAGAGTTGTTACCGGTATAGTTTTTGCGACTCACGAAGGCGAGTGAGCTTTACTTGTGTGTGTACGTACCTATACATGCAATGTCTATGAAAACTTTTGAAAAACGAACAGTAGCGAGCCACCACACATGTAAAGCTCACTCGCCTTCGTGAATTACAACAACTATAATGGATGTTCATTGTTCACAGTCTGTAACTACCTTTTTACTATAAGAAGA